CCAAAAAAATCATCGGTCAGTTTTTAATCTTTTATATTCTTCTTAGAAAATTAAAGTCTGGATAGTAGAGTTTTTTGTTTTTATATTTGGTTTTAGTTTTCCCGGATTTTAAAATATATCTTTGGTAAAAACTAAAATATAAATTTGAATTTGAAGACATTTCAGCTGTATTTATCAGATTAACTCAGTTAATAAGTTTTTTTTTTCTTTTTTTGAGATGTAGTTTCGCTCTTGTCACCCAGGCTGGAGTGCAATGGCACGATTTCGGCTTACTGCCACACCCACCTCCCGGGTTCAAGCAATTCTCCTGCCTCAGCCTCCCAGGTAGCTGAGATTATAGGTGCCCACCACCACACCTGGCTAATTGTTTGTATTTTGTAGAGACGGGGTTTTACCATGTTGGCCAGGCTGATCTCGAACTCCTGACCTCAGGTGATCTGCCTGTCTCAGCCTCCCAAAGTGCTGGGATTACAGGTGTGAGCCACCATGCCTGGCCAATAAGTATTTTAATACTTGCTTTTCGTGTAATATGCTAGGTGTGGTAGTACAATTTTAAGGATACGGTTTTTATAGTGTAATAAGTTACAGCCTATGCTGGGTAGCGGAAATTCCTGAGTAGCAGTTTGTGAAGGAGATAAAATAATAATCTTATAATTTATACACCTTTTCCTTAAATTGAAATTGTTCTCTTATATTTTGGGGGTCAACTTTTATTTCAGTGTCTAATCAGGAATTGAAAAATTGCTTTTCTGTTTTTGTTTTTGTTTTGAGACAGAGTCTTGCTCTGTCGCCCAGGCTGGAGTGCAGTGGCACGATCTCAGTTCACTACAAACTCCACCTCCCGGGCTCACACCATTTTCCTGCCTCAGCCTCCCAAGTAGCTACAGGCGCCCGCCAGCACGCCCAGCTAATTTTTTGTATTTTTGGTAGAGACAAGGTTTCACCATGTTAGCCAGGATGGTCTCGATCTCCTGACCTAGTGATCCACCTGCCTTGGCATCCCAAAGTGCTGGGATTACAGGCGTGAGCCACTGTGCTCAACCAAGGAAGATTTTTAAAATGATTAAATAGAAAATATTTTTAATATAAAATCTTGAACTATAATTTATTAATAAGCTTGCCATGTGTGTTTACCACCTGAATTATCACTTAGATTATTAAACAGTAAAAATTTAGGTATATAGTTGCTGTTTTAAAAAGTTTTTTTTTTTCGCCAGGCACAGTGGCTCATGCCTGTAATTCCAGCACTTTGGGAGGCTGAGGCGGGTGGATCACGAGGTCAGGAGTTCGAGACCAGCCTGGCCAACATAGTGAAACCCCGTCTCTACTAAAAATACAAAAATTAGCCTGGCATCGTGGCTCGTGCCTGTAGTCCCAGCTACTTGGGAGGCTGAGGCAGGAGAATGACTGGAACCCGGGAGGCAGAAGTTGTGGTGAGCCAAGATTGAGCCACTGCACTCCAGCCTGAACAACAGAGAAAGACTCCATCTCAAAAAAAATAAATAAAAGTGTTTTTTCACATCAAATTGATATTTTTTGTAATATAAGTTTTACTGAATAATTGTTAACTGAATATCTTTGCTTACATTTGCTAAATGGTTACGAATATACTAAATACTTAACGTGTTGGAGTTTAAGGCTTCTGAGTTCTAAAATTCACTGAAAATGATTTGGGATATTTTGTCTCTTGTCTGTGAAATGAAACAGAATTTTAATAGAAAGAACCTGGTTAAGTATTATGCAGTTTTCTTCTGAAAACTCAGTATTCTTTTTATGATGACAATTCCACTGTGATTGCCACATTTTCTTTGCTTCCTACTGAAGAAGCTCTTAGTGCACTTGCAAAGAACATAAGGAGTCATGTCAGAGGTCAGCTATTTGAGTCCATTTTCCCACAGCCGCCTGGTGCGAGTGATCTTTTACTGTGTTTTAAAAAAATGGGCAAGGATTAGAGGGGATTAGAAAGAATATTACCCTCCTGAATATAGGCCCAAAGCACTAAGGGGAGAGAACCCAACCAGGCATCAAATGGGCTTTGCTTGACCAGGACACAACCTCTGCTGCATTCCTTTCAGAAACTGAATGGGAAATGTTAAGTCCCCAAACTGGATTAGTAAATAATCTCATAGTTTGTGACATCTGCTAAAATAAATTGATGAGCAGACTACATTCTTACACTTTGAGAAGAGAGCCAAAGACATCAAGAGTAAGAGAATTAAAGATGGGCATTAAACTTAGTAATTGTTGGAAAGGTACATTTCATAAACCAAAAAATTATTTTAGATACAATATGAGGAGTACATGTATATTGATTAAATAAATTAAGGCTTAAATTTTGAAACCACTACAGCTTTTTGTTTTTAAGAGTCTTCCTAGAGTCTTATTGCTTGTAGCAGTTTTACAAAGTGTTTCACAAATTCAGCTCTTTAATTTATGTTATCCCATTAGTTTGTATAACAACCTGAGGAACTAGAATTTGAAATCTGAGAATGTATCTTTTGAGACACCTCTGGAATGTTTCTCTTTTTATATTTTATAAGAGAAGTTAACATAATTTGTATCTTATGACACATAATTTGATATCAAATTGTTTAGAACCAAAGAGGTAATTTCAAACCTATTCTAGAAGGGCAAGTGCATTCTGGTCTCAGTCTTTGGAGATAGTATTTAGCTAACTAAATAAGTTTTTAAAGGTTTTAAGTTGACTAATAGTAAAGATGCTGTACAAATAGTTAACTTTGTATCTTTCTACATATAACAAGTACATTTGATTGGTATAGCAACTGTGATTACACTGCTTTTGTTATAAATGATAATATTAGTACAAGTATTCTCATTAGGAGTTTAAGATAGAATTTAGATTCATAACTGAAGAAGAATTGGTAGACTACAACTTCTTTAACAGGCACATTAAATGCATCCTGCACTGTGCTCTCTTGGTTCAGTGCCTTTATTCAAGATGGCCCTGTGCTTTGTTTATGTCCTCCTGCTGTTCTCCTCACTCCCCAGTCCGCTCATCCACATTCTACCTATCTGTAAATATCAGGTCAAATCCCATCAAGTGGTTTATTTCTAGCCCCTAAATCATAATACTTCCTAAACATAGAGTTATCATATGACTCAGCAATTCTACTCTGTGGTACTTACTCAAGAGAAACAAAAACATATGTTCATTCTGAAACTTATACACAAGTGTTTATAACAACATTATTCATAATAGCCAAAAGCTAAAAACAACCAAATATCTGTCAGTTGATGAATGGATAAACAGAACATATATACCATACATAAAATGCAGTATTATTCAGCCATAAGAAGAAATGAGGCACAAGTACCATGCATGCTACAAGGGTAAACCTTGAAAACATTATGCTAAGTGAAAGAAACCAGTCACAAAATGATTCCATTTGTATGAAATATTCAGAATAGGCAAATCTATAGAGATATAAGATAGATTGGTAGTTGCTTAAGGGGGTTGGGGGAGTAGGGGAGAAGTGAGTTGTGACTAAAGGGTACAGGATTTTCTTTTGAAGTGATGAAAATGTTCTAAAATTGACTTTGGCGATAGTTGCACATATCTCTGAATATATTAAAAATCCTTGAATTGTATACTTTAAATGGGTGAATTCTAAGGTATGTGAATTACATCTCAATAAAGGCTGTTATTTAAAAACTAAATTTAAAAAATTAATACCTCTATCTGTATTCCCATATATTGCACTTTTTTTTTCTTTTCTTTGTTTTTTTTTTTTTTGACAGAGTCTCTCTCTGTCGCCAGACTGGAGTGCAGTGGCTCAATCTTGGCTCACTGCAACCTCCGCCTCCCAGGTTCAAGCGATTTTCCTGCCTCAGCCTCCTGAGTAGCTGGGACTATAGGCAGGCACCACCACACTCAGCTAATTTTTGTATTTTTAGTAGAGATGGGGTTTCACCATGTTGGTCAGGATGATCTCCATCTCCTGACCTCATGATCCGCCCACCGCAGCCTCCCAAAGTGTTGGGATTATAGGCATGAGCCACAGCGCTTGGCCTTGTACGTTGTTTCTACCTCAAATAAAGTACTCACCAGAGTCTTGTTATAATTATTCACTTAAGAAATCTGTCTTTTCAATTGCATTTTGTAGCTCCAGAGAACAGGCAGAGTGTTCTTTGGTATTCCCTAACAACCATAGTGCTTTGAACTTAGTAAATATGAATTTAATTGAACTTTTCCACAATTAAGTTCTTTCACCTATAAAATGTAAATAAAAGAAAAAAGAATTGAATGTTGCCACAAATATTGTTCCAAAATTGGATTTCATAACTTTTATATTCTTCTTTTCAGTAGGAAATGGCTTAATTAAAAATAAAAAATAAATAAATTTTAAAAATAAAAAATATGGGCTGGGCACGGTGGCTCAAGCCTGTAATCCCAGCACTTTGGGAGGCCGAGGTCAAGCGATCTAGACCATCCTGGCTAACACGGTGAAACCCTGTCTCTACTAAAAATACAAAAAACTAGCCGGGCGAGGTGGCGGGCGCCTGTAGTCCCAGCTACTAGGGGAAGCTGAAGCAGGAGAATGGCATAAGCCCAGGAGGCAGAGCTTGCAGTGAGCTGAGATCCGGCCACTGCACTCCAACCTGGGTGACAGAGCGAGACTCCGTCTCAAAAAAAAAAAAAAAAGTGTAATTTTTACATTTAATTCATTTTTGGAAAAATAAATAGTTGCTCTCATATTACCTCCTCAGCTCGAGTTTCCATTTTGTATTTAGCCAGGCCACACATATGCCATTTATCACCTTATTTTTACCTACAGAAATATTCTGGTTTTCATAATTTGCATATATAAGCATTTTATACACGTTATCAGTAGAATCTTCATGTTATTTCAATTAGTTTTTAAAAAATCAGGTTGACTTTCTAACACTTCGAATCTACAGTTTTATGGGTGTTTGAATTTAACACAGTTTAATTTTTCTTTTTTCTGTTGTGTGTATATGTGTGTGTTTTACTTTTTCAGTATTTATTAGAGATGAAAAGTTTAATTTTACCTCCAGAACACATTCTGAAACGGGGTGATAGTGAAGCAATTGCCTATGCTTTCTTTCATCTTCAGCACTGGAAACGAATAGAAGGTGCTCTTAATCTGTTACAGTGTACATGGGAAGGCAGTAAGTATTCTTTTCCAAAAGGAACACTAATCTAACTATTCATTGCATTCACAGGCAGTCTTTTTAAATGAGATTGTCTGGGTTTCCATAAGGATTTGTTGTTCAGATTGGTTTCAAACGGTAATCAGTGATGAGATATTTGGTTTATTGGTAGAAATGCATAATGTTATATTGATCCCGCAAAAGCAGAGTGAGAAACTGTTATGGTGTTCTGCCATATGTTCATTTAAGTTACATATTTGTAAGGAAAGAGAATGAAAACGTGGCCCTTTGACTTACAACTTTTTTAATGTGGTTGAGCTATTCTAATATTTTAAAAATTGGTCTCTTTTTGTTTTATTTTGTTTTCAGATGTATACAACATGGAGCTATTTTCTTCATAATTAATATCAACCTATTCTTTATTGTAAAATATATACAACATAAAATTTAGTTTTAACTATTTTAAGCATATAGTTCAGTGGCATTATGTACGTTCATAGTGTTGTACAAACATCACCATCATCCATCTACAGAACTTTTTCATTATCCCAAACTGAAATTCTGTACCCATTAAATAATAACTCCCCAGTCTTGCCTCCCTCAAGCCCGTGGCAGCCACCATTCTACTTTGTCTCTATGAGTTTGACTACTCTAGGTACCTCATGTAAGTGGAATTATGTAATTTTTGTTCTGTTTTGTCTGGCCTTTTTCACTTAGTATAATATCTTCAAAATTCATTTATATTGGTAATACGTGTCAGAATTTTATTCTTAAGTCTGAATAATTCATTGTATGTATATACCACATTTTGTTTATCCATTCATCTGTTAATGAACAGACACCCATTCAACTTGGGTTGTTTTTACCTTTTGGCTATTGTGAATAATGCTGCTACAAATATTGGTGTACAAATACCTGTTCGAGTTCCTGCTTTCAGTTCTTTTGGGTATATACCCAGAAATGGAATTGCTGGATCATAAAATTCTATGTTTACTTTTTTAAGGAAGCTCAGTAGTGTTTTTTTCCATAGCAGCTGCACCATTTTACATTCCCACCAGCAAGGCACAAAAGTTCCAATTTCTTCACATCCTTGCCAACGCTTGTTATTTTCTGGATTTTTTTCTTTATTTAAATAATAGCTCTCCTAATGGATGTGAAGTGGAATCTCATTGTGGTGGTGTTTTGCATTTCCCTGATTAGTGATGTTGAAGGTCTTTTCATGTGTATATTGGCCGTTTGTGTATCTTCTTTGGAGAATAAATTGGACTGTTTTAAACTAACTACCCGATCTCTTAATTGTTGCTTCTTATAACCACCAAGAAAGTAAAGAAGCTTAATTAAAATATTTTACCTGTAGGATTCACATAATTCTTTTGAAAAGTACACCACAGCTATTGATAAAAATTCAAAAATAAATTCAACGCTTATTCACTAAAATTGGTTAACCCCCCTCAGTTCCCAGACTACTCTGAGGCACCTTGGATGTTGCAGCAATTCACAGGAGTGCTGTAGAACATTTTAAATTTTCAATGGAAACACAAAAATACAATATTCAAGTCTAGGTACGGTGGCTCATGCCTGTAATTTCAGCACTTTGGGAGGCTGAGGCCTCCCAAAAGGTCGAGGCTGTAGTGAGCCGAGATGGCACTACTATACTCCAGCTTGAGTGACAGAGTGAGACTTTATCTCAAAAATAATAATAATAATAATTCGACATCTGTCAGATATTACTTAAACTATTAGCTCCAGACAGTTCACAGTTTCAACATTAGATCACTCTCCATTCCTTTCAATATCATTACATCTTTGCAAGCTGGAGTTTTGTTAGTTGCTGTGATTAAAAGAAGTACCACACAAAAATAAATGTGAAATAGGAAATGAAGATGGTAGTGTCCAATGTGATTCCAAGTTTCGAGAAGTCATACAGTGTCTAACAGGCTTATACCTATATCTCATTAGTAAGAAATTATGGTCATTTAAAAATGAAATAAGAAAATTGATTTATTGATTCTTTTTTTTAACTTTATGTGTATTGTTTTCCAAAGTGCTGCTAAATTATTAGGACATAAATTTTTAAAGTTGTTTGGACTCACTATTAACAAGTGAAATTATCTTGAACCAATTTGGGAACCTCTGCATTAACCATTTGCTAAAGGCCAGATACTGTGGCTTGACAATAACAATATAAATACAATTGATGAGTCAAGTGTGGTGACTTATACCTGTAGTTCCAGCTACTAGGGAGGCTGAGGCGGAAGGATCACTTGAGGCCAGAAATTCGAGACCAACCTGGGCAACATAGCAAGACTCTCTCTAATATATATATATATGTGTGTGTGTGTGTGTATGTTTTTAAAGAAAAGATTAATAAAACTGGGATTATGTATTTGAGAAACTGAATGTCTTTGAGTAATTCAACTTACTTTTGCTTTTTCTCCAGTAGTCCATAAGCTCCTCAAAAGCAGATATTCTATCTCATTCATTTTGTATGTGTCCTCACTGCCTGACATTCTGCTTGGCAAATAGGTTTTCAATAAGTGTATGATTTTATTTAATTTATTACTTTGTATGTGGAGATGAGGTCTTGCTATGTTGCCCAGGCTGGTCTTGAACTCCTGGCCTCAGGCAATCTTTCCACCTTGGCCTCCCAAAGGAGCTGAGTTTACAGGCATGAGCCATCGTGCCCAACCACTTATGATTTATACTGTATTTCATGAATCATGATCAATGATTTATTAGTGTTATCACTAATTTACTAATTTGGTCTACGACTTTGGACAAATAACTACTTTTTATTGTGGTAAAATAAAGTCTAACTGGGCCTGGTGACTCACACCTGTAATCCCAGAACTTTGGGAGGCTGAGGCGGGTGGATCACCTGAGGTCGGGAGTTTGAAACCAGCCTGACCAACACGGAGAAACCCTGTCTCTACTAAAAATACAAAATTAGCTGGGCGTGGTGGCACATGCTACTTGGGAGGCTGAGGCAGGAGAATTGATTGAACCTGGGAGGCGGAGGTTGCGGTGAGCCGAGATCGCACCATTGCACTCCAGCCTGGGCAACATGTGCAAAACTCTGTCTCAATAAATAAATAAATAAATAAATAAATAAATAAATAAATAAAGTCTAAATTGTGACAAAAGTTTATAGAGCCAAACACGAAAGGAAAAACAAAAATCTTATCACAATTTTGATGACTACAGCAGGCCCTTAAATAATATTGTTTCATTCAACATTATTTATTATAATGTTGATGAGGGAAAAAAAAACAAAAAACAGATTTCCAGCCAGGACCATTGTCTGTGTGAAGTTTGCAAGATATTCCCATGCCTGTGTGGGTTTCCCCTTATATCCCAAAGATGTGCACATTAGGTTAATTGGTGTATCGAAATTGTCTCAGTATGAGTGAGTGTGGGGGTGTGTGCAAGTGGTATACTGGAATGGTGTCTTGTCCAGGGTGGGTTTCTGCCTTGCACCCTGGGCTGCCATGATAGGCTCTGGCCATGCTTGACCCTGAACTAAAATAATTGGGTAAATAATGATCCTGTTTTTATGAATCTTAAATGTATGTATAGCTCACATTTATTTCAATGTTTAATATAAGAAGTGTTTTGAATCTTTATGTAGAAGTTTGGTGATGTTTTGTGACCAAGGAACTTAACTCTTGTTTATATCAGTTAGCCTATGGTAAAATTGTCATTTATTATATGACATTTCACTTAAAGTCACAGTTTCCAAGAACCTATTGACAGTGTTAAAGATTTATGTACTTAGCTAATGGAATAGATCAATAAAGATTTCTTCTTTAATAAATCTACAGTAGTTGGTGATAATCTAGATCGGAGTGGGCAAACTTTTCCTGTAAGGTGCTAAATAGTAAATATTTTAGATTTTGTGGGCCATACAGTCTTTTTCACAGCTACTTGATTCTTGTAACATGAAAACAGCCTTAGCCAATATGTAAATGAATGGCATAACTATGTTCCAATAAAGTTTTATTTACAAAAACCTAGTGGGCCAGACCTGGCCAAAGGGCCATACTTTGGTGACCCCTGATCTAGATTAAGATCTGCTCATAGGCTGGGCGCGGTGGCTCACGCTTGTAATCCCAGCACTTTGGGAGGCCAAGGTGGGCAGATCACAAGGTCAGGAGATTGAAACCATCCTGGCTAACATGGTGAAACCCCGTCTCTACTAAAAATACAAAAAATTAACCAGGCGTGGTGGCAGGCACCTGTAGTCCCAGCTATTCGGCAGGCTAAGGCAGGAGAATGGCGGGAACCCGGGAGGCAGAGCTTGTAGTGAGCTGAGATCGCGCCACTGCACTCCAGCCTGGGTGACAGAGCAAGACTCTGTCTCAAAAAAAAAAAAATCTGCTCATAGAAAGCTTTGGTGAAACCCACATGTGAAGTTAGGAGCCATTGAAAACTATTTTAGGTTGCCAGTAGTAATGGCCACAACAGTTATATACATCCCAGTTATATGAAGATTTCTGTAAGAAGCAGAATTATCAATTCTTCTTTGGAATTATCAGTTGTGTTTGTAATGAGGAGACTGAAGCAAAGAAGGACCCAGCCAGTCTCATCTACCACTCCCTATAGTTTTACTCCAGCCAGACTAGACCGTTCACTATTATCTAAATAAATCTTATCCTTCCCCTTATTCATTCTTTTGCTTACTTTGTTTCTTGTATCTAAATGTCTCACTAAAAAAGAAAATAAAATACTATGTGAAATTTTTATATAAATTTGTCTCCAAAATAGCTTTGATCTATAGTATAGGATGGTAAATGAGACAGAATTGAGTATCAACACAAGCTTTTTTTTCTCAGCTTTTAGAATGATTCCACACCCGTTAGAGAAAGGACATCTATTTTACCCTTATCCCAGCTGCACAGAGATGGCTGATAGAGAGCTATTACCTAGTAAGTAAATATTTTAGTTTTCTTAAACTTACAAGTAGTTTTAAGTTTAGATTGTTTGTCATAGTATTCTCCATTTTAAAAGTGCCTTTGGTTGAAATTCAGGACACTATTTAAATACTATTTTAGCTACTTCTGGGATGTAGTTGTCTAATTCAATTTATTTCCAAATAATTATTGAGCAAAACCCTGTGCTAAATGCAACAAAGGACACCAAGATTAAAGATATTAACAAGAACTGTCATCTGACAAACATTTAGAAAAGAAATAATGCCAATCCTTCACAAACTCAGAAAATAAATGAGGAAAGAATACTCCCCAAATCATTTGATGAGAGCAGTATCTTCCTGATACCAAAACCAAAGATAATATGATATAAAAAGACTATAAAACAACAGCCCTTATGAATATAGACACAAACATCTTCAACAAAATATTAGGAAACTGAATCTAGCAACATATAGAAAGGCTTATATACCATGACCAAGTGGGATTTACCTCACAAATGCAAGTTTGGTTTAACATCTGAAAATGTAATGTACCATAGTTAATAGAATAAAGCACAATAGATGCAGAAAAAGCATTTGACAAAATCTGGCTCTCATTCAAGATAAAAAGAAAAAATCTCAACAAACTACAAATTGAAGGGGACTTCCTCAACCTGATTTTTAAAAAAAATCCCTGAAAAACCCACAATTAACATTATACTTAATGGTAAAAGACTGAATGCTTTCCCCCTAAGATCGGGAATAAGACAAGGATATCTGTTGTCACCACTTCTATTCAATATTCTACTAGAGGTTCTAGCTGGTGTTACCAGGCAAGAAAAAGAAATAAGAGGCATTCGTATTGGCAAGGAGGAAGTAAAACTCTCCTTATTCAAAGGTGACATGATCTTCTATATAGGAAATCCTAAGAAATCCATAAAAATGAAAATACTCTTAGAACTAATAAATGAGTTCAACAGGGTTGTAGAATATAAGATAAATATACTAATATTAATTATATATCTATGTATTAGTAATGAACAATCTGAAAATTGAATTTAGAAAAGAGTAGCAATCATAACAACAACAAAAACTACTTAGGAATAAATTTAACAAAAGAAATTTAAGACATGTACACTAAAATATTGCTGAGAGAAATTAAAGAAAAACTGAATAAATGGAGAGACATTCCATATTGATGGATTGGAAGACCCAATTATATTTACTTATTTATTTATTTATTTGAGACCAACTCTTACTCTCGCCCAGGCTGGAGTGCAGTGGCAAGATCTCAGCTCACTACAACCTCCGCCTCCTGGGTTCAGGCAATTCTCGTGCCTCAGCCTCCCGAGTAGCTGAGATTACAGGTGCCTGCCACCACGCCTGGCTAATTTTTGTATTTTTGGTAGAAAGAGAGTTTCGCCCTGTTGCCCAGGCTGGTTGCGAACTCCTGGAGTCAAGAAATCCACCTGCCTCAGCACCCTAAAGTGCTGAGCCTACAGGCATGAGCCACCGTACCTGGCCCCAATATTATTTAGATGACAGTTCTCTCCAAATTGATCTATAGATTCAATACAATCCCTATCAAAATCCCAGGAGGGATTTTGCACGCGCACACACACACACACAAAGTAACAAGCTTATTCTAAAATGTATATAGAAAGGCAAAGGACCCAAACAATCTTTATGAAGAACGATTTGAAAAAGAGCAGCCAAAGAACTAGAAGGAGAACCAGAAATATGTAGGATTATGATTGCTGATAGTGTTTCAGTCTAGTTCCTGCCTTTAGGAAGCCAGGCTTCTCAAAAGAACAGTCTACACTTTGTGTCTCAGCTGCCTTATCATCTGTTCTTTTCTCTGTAAACTAGTACATTTCTGTTTAACTTCTCTTTTTATGATTTAGCTGAGAAGCAACCTTGCCGAAGGCTGTAAACACTAGGACCATGTTTTCTTATATGATATAAACCTGTGCTACAGTTTTCACAATACTGAGCCATTAGAACTGAAGTCTAGGAAGGAAAGTTGCAGGTTTACAACTGTCAAACTTAATTAGTTGATAAGTTTAAACTGATAAATGAAAATTTAGGAGAGATTATGGCAACCTGAGTATGCTGGTGTTTTTCTCCTAGTGTTTTTTATTTTCCTTTATCTGCTAAGTGATCTCTTCCTTCTCTGAATTCTCAGAGTGCTTTATGTACTTCTTAATCTCCCCTTTTAGACTGTAAACTCCTTGAAGGCCAGGATTCTCTTCTTTTTTCTTTTTTTTTTTAGATGGAGTTTCCTCCCTTGTTGCCCTGACTGGAGTGCAATGGCCTCATCTCGGCTTACTGCAACCTCTGCCTCCCAGGATCAAGTGATTCTCCTGCCTCAACCTCCAGAGTAGCTGGGATTACAGGCACCCACCACCACACCCAGCTAATTTTTTTGTATTTTTAGTACAGACAGGGTTTCACCATGGTGGCCAGGCTGGTCTGGAACTCCTGGCCTCAAGTGATCCACCCACCTTGGCCTCCCAAAGTGCTAGGATTACAAGTGTGAGCCACTGCACCTGGCCATTGTTCCTGTATCTCTTGTAATGGTTGCCATAAAAATTGTTATTCAATAAATATTGGTTGAATTAATCAAATTCATTAATGTATTCTTATAAACATGGCTGGCACATTGTAAGTACTTAACTAAAATGCTAAATATTAGTGCCTTCTCCCTCTCACCCTATTCTGAACTCCTAGGCTGCTGATAAGGTTGATAAAAAGATGATGGACAGGCCAGGCACAGTGGTTCACATTTGTAATCCCAGCACTTTGGGAGGTTGAGGCGAGCAGATCACCTGAGGTCAGGAGTCCGAGACCAGCCTGGCCAACATGGCAAAACCCCATCTCTACTAAAAATACAAAAGTTAACCAGGTATGGTGGCTCACGCCTGTAATCCCAGCTACTCAGGAGGCTGAGGCAGGAGAATTGCTTGAACTCAGGAGGTAGAGGTTGCAGTGAGCCGAGATCGTGCCGTTGCACTCCAGCCTGGGTGACAAAGCAAGACTCTGTCAAAGAAAGACAGAGAGAGAGAGACAGAGAGAGCCTAGCTCTCTAGGAGGTCAAGAATGATTCTCAATTTTCTGACTTGGGTGACTTGGAGAATGGTAAATCTATCCTATCGAAGGAGGAGCCAGTTTGGGAATAGGGGTTGGGGAAATAAATAAGTTCAAGCTTTGACTGTGTTTCCTGTGTAACATCTCATCCATATATACATGCATACCTGTATATGTGTGTATATATATGTACATATATAGAAATTTATATGCTTAAATATTTTCTTGTATAATCTACTTAACACATATACATACAAGTCTATATTTTATCTCTCTAAGTAATATATAGGTATAGATATATTTTTAAGTTATATATATAATATAGATTATAAAGTAAACATATAATATTTATAATTAGTGAATGTTATAGGCGTAAGTAATAGAGAGCAACTTTGAACTAGCTTAAACATACATAGTGATTTGTTGGAAGAACACCGGGTTATCAGAGAACTCAAAATCAACAATTATATTTGAACTTCGTAAGGGACTAGAACTGGGGACTAGAAAGTCATTAGGATTTCCAGGAATCAATTATTTGAATATCTCTGTCCCTAGATGCTTTTTTCAGTCTTTCTTATTCTTACTTTCCTTTCCTCCCTCCCCAGCCCCATTTTCTCTTTCTGTGATCTGTCATTGCTGTTTCTCTCAGTGTATCCACTTCATTCTTACATCTTTTCTCTTTACAGTTTGGCTTTCTTCATAGACCATGTGGCCAAACTTGAGGCCCCTACAGCCCTCTGTTTACATGTCATGAGTTCAGGCAAACAATACAGAATGAATAGTATCTCAATCTCACTTTTTCTTTTCTTTTCTTTTTTTTTTCCTTTTTTTTTTTTTGAGACAGGATTTCACTGTCAGGCGGGAATGCAGTGGCACATTCACGGCTCACTGCAGCCTCGACTTCTCAGGCTCAAAAGATCCTCCCCACTCTGCCTCCTAAGTAGTTGGGACCACAGGCATGTGCCACCATGCCTGGCTAATTTTTGTATTTTTGGTAGAGATGAGGTTTCACCATGTTGCCCAGCCTGGTCTTGAACTCCTGAGCTCAAGTGATCTGCCTGCCTCAACAAGTGTTGGGATTACAGGTGTAAGCCACTGCAACCAGCCTCAATCCCACTTCTAAAACTTCTGGGAGAGAGAGAATGAAATTTATCCAGGTGTTTACTCCTTGTCCAGTCAGCTGTGGCCTAAGACAAGATTAGGTTGTGTAAATAAAATTGCCAGTGGTCCTCATATATCTTCCTCTGTACATCTCAAAAAACAGACTTGGGAGTCATCATTTTCTAAGTAGCAAAAGAAGTCCTAGGCATAAATGAAATCACTAAGGAAAACTGTATGCAGTGACAATTGAACTGAGGGTGGAACCATGGGTGCATTCCTTAAAAATGTCTAAGGAATGAGTGGCAGAAAGAGTTGAAGATTCAGTGAAGAGGTTGTCGGAGAGACAGGACAATAACTAAAACTAGATATCCTAGAACTAAAAGGAAGAAGAAATTTCCAAGTGAGGAGGAATATCTGAGATAATAGGTAAAGTAAATACTAAGAAGAATTCATTGACTCTAGCAATTAAGATGTCATTAATGAGAGAAATTGTATTTTTCTTCCTGAAGTGGTGGTAGTGGTAGTTGTTCTTATTGTCTTTCCATTTTAACGGGAACAAGTATATTTAAGGCAAAAGAATGGACCTTAAATTATGGAACGTCATGATGTACGCAAGAGTGTATTATATTAAGCTAATATATTTAGCCTAAAATAATGCCCTCCTTTGTAAATTATTACAAAGGTTGTCTAATATAAGGCCAATTTTACATAGTAATATGAATAAAATCAGGGTTATTATCATGTTGTCAAAGCTATAAGCTATAAGACCAGTTTATTTTTGGCAAGACTTTATAAATTCCAACTCCATATAGGATGCAAACTCCAGAAGGTAGGAGAGGGGTAATATGCTGGGGGGTTTTGTTTGATTATATTTTATGTTCTTAGAGTATTTTTTCTGTCTGTGGCTATGGTAGAATGAACAAATTGTTAACAATATGGAGTTTTAATACCCAGGAGTACTTAATGTTTTTTGTTTTTAATTTTCCTTCAACCTTGATATGACTTACCGCATTCTGGAATTTGCTTATGGACCTCATAAGTTCAGAGTTGAACTATTCCCCTAGTTCACATAGCTATTTAGTCGTCTTTTATGCCTTCTGATAAATTTTTCTCTACAAGCCAGTGATGAAATTTGAACTTTTGTTCCAAGGGAGTGTTTCTGTAATAGTCAGTCATCTATTATTTTGATGTGTTAGCCAAACATTGACTGACAAATGAATCTACAGAAAGCAATCCAGAAAGAAATAATTAGGTCTCTCCTACAGTATAAAAATCTCATATTTCAGGAAATTTCCTTACTAAAGCTATGCAGTTTTCTACCTTATAAACTGAGAATAATACTACTATCTCTTACGGTTACTGAAAAGAATTAAATGAGTTAATATAAATTAAAGTTCTTTATAAACCATAAAATGCTATATAGGTTAGCTAATATTATTAACTTTGCTGTATTGTGTGTGTTTCCCACCTTCTTGAATACCAGGGTTTGTTTCTCTTGATTTGAAGTTGGGAAGAAGAAGAAGTTGGCATCTCACAGCTGAGGGACAGGGCAAAGGGGATTGCTGACTGATTCTTTGGGTGCTGAAAACACAATGTTCTCTACAGTTTCTAATGTTTCTACCTTTTAAAACTTCCATTTTGATGTGCTTTTACTTTAAACAAGGCTCAAGGTTCTGGAAATTTTCTGGATTTTCAATGAGTTTGTGTTTTGGTATATACTTTCTGAATATAGTAAAATAAAAATTAAAATATAGCTGTTGAAGGAAGCTTAGGTGTAATCTCTGTGAATCATTATGTTTTAAAAGTGAAATTTATAGCTGACCTTGGTTCAGCACAAAATTAGTCATCCCTTACTAATGCAGGATATTACATCAGAAATTCCTGGGTTATTATCCAGCCCTAAGCGGTCAACTTCCTGGCCTAATGAAGTCCCAGAATAGCTCTCAGTTTAGCAGACATTTATTGAGCACCTACTGCATGTTAAGTACTCTAATAGGCTCATCTCAGTATTATTATTCAAGTATTTTCAAATTTCAAATAAAATATAAATACTTGAGTATAATTGATAATGAAATATCCAATCACTAGAATAATAATAGCTGAGTAAATGTGTAAATATGGTAAAATAAGATAAGGGACTTTATTTATGGTCAGAATCCTAGGCCTTTGGTTTGCTAGTTTAGGTTTTGTTTTGTTTTGTTTTGAGATAGCGTCTTGCTCTGTTGCCCAGGCTAGAGTACAGTGGCATGATCTTGGCTCACTGCAACCTCCGCCTCTCAGGTTCTAGCCGTCCTCCTGCCTCAGCCTCCCAAGTAGCTGTGACTACAGGTGCACATCACCATGCCTGGCTAATCTTTCTATTTTTAGTAGAGATGGGGTTTCACTATGTTGGCCAACCTGGTCTCAAACCCCTGACCTCAAGTGATTCACCCGCCGTGGCCTCCCAAAGTGCTGGAATTACAGACATGAACAAACATGCTTGGCCTACCTACTTTATTTATTTATTTATCTATTTATTTATTTTTGAGACAGAGTCTTGCTCTGTTGCCAGGCTGGAGTGCAGTGGCGTGATCTTGGCTCACTGCAGCCTCTGCCTCCCGGGTTTACGTGATTCTCCTGCCTCCGCCTTCCTGAGTAGCTAGGACTACAGGCGCATGCCACCACGCCCACCTAATTTTTATATTTTTAGCAGAGACGGGGTTTCACCATGTTGGCCAGGATGGTCTCGATCTCTTGAGCTCGTGATCCTCCTGCCTTGACGTCCCAAAGTGCTGGGATTGCTGGGATTACAGGCGTGAGCCACTGCTCCCAGCTTACCTACTTTAGTTTTTACAGTGCCTAATGCAATGCCACATATATAAACACATTAATAACTGGATAAAATTATTAACTGATAGTTCTAGGAAATCACCAATGACGTGTCTGCCTCTTTCTCCATACTAGTTTTTGAGCTCCCAAAGAACAATAATTAATAACAACTCAAGGCCAGGTGTGGTGGCTCACACCTGTAATCCCAGCACTTTGGGAGGCCAAGGTGGACAGATCACTTTTGGCCAAGAGTTTGAGACCTGCCTGGCCAACGTGGCAAAACCCCTCTCTACCAAAAATACAAAAAAGTAACTGGGCGTGGTGGCCTGTGCCTGTAATCCCAGCTACTTGGGAGGCTAAGGCACAAGAGTCACTTAAACCTGGGCGGCAGAGGTTGCAGTGAGCCAAGATCATGTCACTGCACTTTAGCCTGGGCAACAGAGCAAGACTCTTCTTCAAAAAAAAAAAGTAGCAACTCAGATTTATGTATTTATTTGGAGACAGATCTGTCACCCAGGCTGGAGTGCAGTAGAATGATCATAGCTCACTGCAACCTCAAACTCCTGGGCTCAAGTGATTTTCCCACCTCATCCTCCTGCGTAGCTGGGACTACAGGCACACACCACCATGCTGGGCTAATTTTTAAAAATTTTTAAGAGATGGGGGTCTCACTATTTTGCTTAGACTAGTGTCAAATGCCTGGCTTTAAGCAATCCTCCTCTTCAGCACCACCAAAGTGCTGGGATTACAGACATGAGCCGCCACCCGTGGCTGCAACTCACATTTATTAAGCACTTAAAATGTTCATCATTACAACTCTCCATAGCAACTTCTAGAGGGTTTAGCAACTTATTCAAGATCACATAGCTAATAAGTGACAAAGCTTTTTTTTTCAAAGTCACCTCAGCATGACTTTGTAATCAATGTTCTTTCCCATGATGCCATCCTGTTCCCACGCCCAGCACAGTTGTCTGTCTATTTAGATATGCTGTTGATGCTGGGATAAGTAATGGATAACTGTCTTCTACCTTGCTTAGCCAGAGACTTGGTTTTTAAATGTTTTTTTCTTTTTTGTTTTTAAAAACAGATTTCATTTGAAAAGATTAAGACTTACATGTTATTCTGAAATAAAATTGATTCTTACCTATTCTCCCTTGCAGCCTTTCATCATGTTTCTGTTTACCCAAAGAAGGAGCTTCCTTTGTTCATCCATTTCACAGCAGGATTTTGCTCTTCTACAGCAATGATAGCCATTCTCACACACCAGTTTCCTGAAATCATGGGTATTTTTGCTAAAGCTGTAAGTATGATCTCAAGGACTTGTGTGGATTATTTGTAAAACACACAAGAAACCATCTCTGATCTGCCTGTGCTAACTCAGCTGAACAGTGGAAGATATTTGTTGTAAATTAAAGGAATTGATTTGTATAGCTGCTGCCATAAATATGTCAAACATAAATTTTTGGTGATCTGAGCTACTTCTGTTGCTTAAAAGTTTAAATAATACAATATAAGATTATAACAGTATAACATTATAAAGTTTGCTCTTATGGATCACTTTTGATGATAAACGTAGCATTTGTTACTATCTTTGGTATTTTAAAAAATACCCTATTTTGTAAACAAACCCTTTGATTTTTTTCATTTAAATGGAATCATTCGTTCTCAGGATTTGTTGAACTTTAAACTCAAGAGCACAACTAGGATGGATAATAAGTACATAAGGCAGGGGGACAGATGAGACATTGGTCCCTAGGTACAGAATGTGCCTATGTCTCAAAGATTCTCCAAGTTATTGTGTCTGCTTGTTCTTACTGACCTTCCCCAGACTTGGATATAGAACCATGTGTAGATCTTTATTTTCATTTTTACCCTTTAGTTTTGAACTGCTTCTCCAATTCCTGAACCAGTTAATACTTGAGGACTGATATTAGAGTGGGTATCCCATCACTATTGACTCTTTTTTTTTTTTTTTTTTGAGATAAGGTCTCACTCTGTCACCCAGGCTGGAGTGTAGTGGTACGATCTCAGCTCACTGCCGCCTCTGCCTCCTGCGTTCAACAGTCGTCCTGCTTCAGCCCCCCGAGTACCTAGGACTATAGGCATATGCGACCATGCCCAGCTAATGTTTGTATTTTTTGTAGAGGCAGGGTTTTGCCACGTTGCCCAGGCTGGTCTTGAACTCCTGGGCTCAAGTGATCTGCCCGCCTCGGCCTCCCAACGTGCTGGGATTACAGGCATGAGCCGCCATGCCCAGCAACTATTTACTCTTCTATATAAACTTGTTAATTAATGTCACTGGCTCAAAGTAAAATTAGCAAAGACAATTGCCTTTAAGTCTCCAAGCCTCCTTCTTTTTTTTTTTGAGATGGAGTCTTGCCCAGTTGCCCAGGCTGGAGTGCAGTGGCATGATGTCGGCTCACTGCAAGCTCCACCTCCCAGCTTCACGCCATTCTCCTGCCTCAGCCTCCCGAGTAGCTGGGACTACAGGCGCCTGCCACCATGCCCAGCTAATTTTTTTGTATTTTTAGTAGAGACAGGGTTCCACCATGTTAGCCAGGATGGTCTCAATCTCCTGACCTTATGATCCACCCGCCTCGGCTTCCCAAAGTGCTGGGGTTACAGGCGTGAGCCACCATGCCCAGCCTCCAAGCCTTTTTAAAAATGCATCTTTCTTGTACATCTTTGCATTTCTACCAGGTAATAAGAGTTAAAACCCAAAAAGAAAATGCTGATTAATTATATTCCCCAAAATAAAAACACTGAGAACCATGGAAAAACTAGTCCTTACTTGGTAATATATTTTCTGTATTTTTCTCTATATGCCTCCATTCTAACTTGTTTCCTCACAGTTTCTTTTTCTGCCTTAAGAATAGTTTATTTTGTGCCTTAAAGATTAGTTGGCTTTTTTCTGGCACCAGTGGTAAGAGCAGTGGTTTCCCTTTTTCCCTGAAGGTCAGCCATATAATGTGTTAAGTTGCCACTGGCTGTAGGCCTAGGAGTCTGAGTCTGCACTTGATTCTGGGTCAAACTTCAAGAAGAGTGACTTTCCACTGTTGTTCAGGGAGTATAGCTATTTGGTTTGGAAACTGACTATTCTATTTCTTTTTAGTGTAAAATGAACACTCAGTGATCACACTCGTAACTGTTGTTTGCAATAGTGCTAATAGTTGAGTGAGTGCATCTCAAACTTAAATAACCTTACTATGTAATCTGGCATGGAATAAAAATGGCCTAGAAAGAGAATTCCATCCATTTAATAGCTGGAAAGAAAATGTGCAACTGTGTATGTGAGATCACAGGCAAGCAATGGGAGAGATGATTCTTGGATTTGTCTCAGGCAAGTGGAGTGGGAAGGAAGTGAAATAGAGCAAGGAGGGAGATCTAGAATCTGAAATAGATCTATACCAACTGTTAGTAGTATATTTCCATGGGGTACTAGCTACAATTAATGTATATAGTGTCTGCCTTTACCTAGGCAGTCACTAATGGCACCAGAAGAACCTTTATGATTACGTAGCATAAGTTCCTTAGCACTCCTCTAGCACAGACTGAGAATGAATAATTACATGTTTTAAAGTGGAAGCTTCTTTTGCAGACCAAAAGTTATTGATATACTGCTTTTCCAGTTGATGGATAATGAACAAGCATTTATTTTGGTGTCTGTATAGGTGATGGTATATAGTGTTAAGAATGTGCCTAATGGTAAAACTTTTAGAGCCCCATTTTTATCCCTGTGGCCCTTACATGTACATTTTAAAACCCTAAAGGCTAAGTATTTACTGAAAGTTCCTGCAAACCAGTATTTGTGCAGGATTTCCAAAGTCAGGTTCCATTAAGAGTTAATGGGAAATGACTGTGGTATGGGCAGTTTCCAGCTTTTTTTTTCTTTTTCTTTTTCTTTTTGAGACAGAGTCTCGCTCTGTCACCCAGGCTGGAGTGCAACCATGTGATCTCAGCTCACTGCAACCTCCGCCTTCTGGGTTCAAGCAGTTCTCCTGCCTCAGCCTCCTGCGTAGCTGGGACTATAGGCACGTGCCACAACACCTGGCTAACTTTTTTATTTTTAGTAGAGATGGGGTTTTGCCATGTTGGCCAGGCTGGTCTCGAACTTCTGACCTCAGGTGATCAACCCACCTTGGCCTCCCAAAGTGCTGGGACTACAGGCGTGAGCCATCATGCCCGGCCAGTTTCCAGCTTATAAACACAATGTGTTAATACCTTTATAGACAGACAAACAGCAAGGGAACTAGAGGCTTAAATTACACTTCTTCGCCACTTCATAGAGTGTGCTCTATGCAGTAGGAGCATCACCATCACCCAGGAGCTCATTAAAAATGCATAACTTCAGGCACCACTCCAGACCTTCTGAATCAGAATCTGCATTTTAACAAGATCCCCAGGTGATCCTATATATACATTTAAAACTTGGGGAAACTTGCTGTACTCTACGCCTAATAAGAGGAATTTAGAACAGCTCAATAGTGCTGCCTTGTCAAGGTGGAAAAGAGGCAGCATTGCAGAGTAGTTATGAAATAGACTCTGGAGGCGCTTTGAATTCTAGCCCTGAAACACTGCTGTACAACGTCAGGTAAGTTCCTTAACCTTTTCTAGCCTTAGTTGTAAAATGAGAATAATACTACCTCTCACGGGTTTTGGTGAGCGTTAAATGACTTTAAAAGATTCAAGTGTTAGGAAGGACTATGTCTACCCACAGTGAAAACTAGGTGAATGTTAGCTGTTGTTGCTACCTTCATTGTCATCATCATCACCAAAGTGCAACAATAGTGGGAAACCCTACCTCCTTCTTGTTTAAAGGAGACATGTCCTAACAGTCAGCTTAAAATGCATTTTTCCGTAGAAACTGTAGTATAAATGGTGGTTGGGTATAATTTTAAAAACACTATTAGTAGGCCAGGTGCAATGGCTCTCCTGCCTGTAATCCCAGCACTTTGGGAGGCCAAGGCAGGTGGATTGCTTGAGCTCAGGAGATCATGACTAGCCTGGGTAACATGGTGAAACCCCATCTCTATCAAATATACAGAAAAGTTAGCCAGGTGTGGTGGTGTGTACCTGTGGTCCCAGCTATTCAGGAGGCTGAAACGGGAGGATCGCTTGAGCCTGGGAGGTGGAGGCTGCAGTGAGCCAAGATTTCACTACTGCACTACAGCCTGGGCAACAGAGCAAGACCCTGTCTCAAAAAAATATATATATATTGTTACTACTATGCTTCTGGCACATTATGTGTATATGAATGTAGAAAGTGAAGAAATGTTTCAGGTTCTAAGCAACTACCTTGTAGAACAGAACCTGTTGGTAAGTTACAAACTGTCTGTGTTAGCATTTCCAGTTAACTCAGATATTTGATGGCCAAATAAAGTAGAAATTGATGAAGTATCTTTGAGACATACTTGTTGTATTTCAGAAGACAGACTTTTAAAAATTTTCCTAAATTTCTTTATTGTTACCATTGTCTCTTTCTTATCTAATATCTTTTCGTAATAGCTCACATGCCAGAGCAAATTGAATTTGAATTTCTTAAAATGCATTTGTTACAAAAATTGTGTTATTGTGAGGCCAGGCAGTGGAGACTGATTTTAAATAATTCTCACTGTACATCAGATTTAGAGAAATGAAAGGGAATTAACTAGAATGGCTAATGGTTTTAATGCCTCTTCTTTTGCATGGTATAAGGCTATGTGGAATAAGACTTCATTTTTAGCAAGTTAGGATTTTTTCCCCCTGATTTTTCTCCTGGCTGAGATGAAAACCTAGTCTGACATTAGACACAGAGCAATGAAAAAGTGTTGCATAAATCCCTGGAGATGTGGAATGTGCTTATATCAGAGCTGATATTCTCTAAGGCCAGAATTCCTGAAAAAGGAAAAATTGCTTTTAAGTGGTAGGTCATTTTCTCACCTGCTTTGAAGCCTGCTGGATTAAATATGAGAGTTCAAAGTAAGGGTAGCCAGCAAACCAACTGAACTGGAATCTGATTCTGCTTATCTGAAAGGAGCTTCTTTATTTAAGAACAGCACTACCCTCTCCTTAGAGAACCAATCTTCTACTCTGGCCCCTTTCATTTCTCTCTTGCAAGAAAAGTGTTCTTCTTAGCAAGGCTTGGGAGGGTGTTATCACAACCGTGAAAAGACTTAAAGATGGTCTTGGGGGTTTCACTAACTTATTGATAAACTCAGGCTTGTGGTATGTGACTTTAGTGTTTTGAATTCAGAAGTGTGTTTAAATATAAAAGTCCCTAATTGGGGCCAGGCATGGTGGCTCACGCCTGTAATCTCAGCA